ATTCTACTTCAGATGAGAAGTCTGTTAATATGGGTCGGTCAATACTCTCTCTGCTCCTTTGGGATGACAGTTTAAAAAGGGCTCTACACTTTAAAAAAAATATCCCATTTACTAGAATAAGATCATGTAAATTAACACTGATTATTATTCCCTATATCTGTCCATTTACAAAGCTCAACAGGCTTCATAAGGTGTACTAAACAGTAACATTTTCACCTTTTATTAAGGCAAGTTTGTGAAAATAATTCAATACAACCAGATCTCTTCATGAACTTTCAACCTACATTTTAAATGTAAGAAACATACAAAAAATCGTGTTTTATAAAAAGCCACCTCAATACCAGAAAATAGTCATGAAAGATTTTGAACCCAGTTTACTTTTGAGGATGCTCTTTCCTTGTCTCCAGTTCCAAGTACTACTCATCATCTTTAGAGCCAGTTTTGCTTAAATGCTTCACAACATCAACCCAGTTCCAGCCTCGAGGAAGTTCCCCTTTGTGATCTGTTTTATCTGCCAGTTTACGTTTCTGGGCTTTTGAAAGTTGTTCTTTTTTGTCTTTTTTCTTACTTGGTGGGGCTGTATTAGGAGTTTCAACTGAGATGATATTGTTTATTGATGTAGTGGAATGAACAGGATGATGGTTCTCCATGAACTGCTCCTTATTGTCCTTGGCATATTCGAAGAGCGTGTAGGTCATGGCGGTTCCGAGATTAACTTCTACTGCTTCCTGTAACTTGGCTAATATACTCTGTTTTACAGCGGATGATATGGTGTTGTTAAAAAAAGCATTCATGGATATAACCGGAGGGGTCTGGGGATATGTTTCTGTCCAGGAAATCTCTATTAAGAAGGCCTTGGGATCACCATTTTCACCCTATATTGAAAGGAAACTGGACTTAATTCCCGGAAACTTTCATCTCCTTCATAAATTGAACGTAATGCTTCTAGTTCCATCTCTTGGTCCTCGTTGGCACTCATTGCGCCGGGCGCCGGGCGCCTCCCGGGCAGACGACGTCCGCGACCACCACGAGCGCGCAAGGGCAGGAGCCCCGAGGCCGGGGCGTCCCCCTTCCGCGCCCCGCCGGGGGCGGCACCCCTTCGCGCCCGCGGACACGAGCCACGCGCGCCCAGGCCCTCGGCAGCACCGCGTCGGCGGGCGGTGGTCGGCGGACGCCGGGCCGCGGCCAGCGGGCGGAGGCGGGGCTCTGGGCGGAAGCTCCAGGGCGTCACCGCCCCTCCTCCTTCTCGCGTTTCCCATTGGCTCCTCTTCTCCCCGCCCCCAGCTCTTTCTCCTCTAGGAAACGGAGCCCCGCTCGTGCGCCTCGAGGAGCGGCGTCGAGTTCCCGGGCAGCAATTGGTGGGGAGCGCCGTCACTCCGGCCCAGAAAGTGCTTCCTGTGCCCGTGGGGGTGGGGAGCGGGAAGTCCCGCCTGCTGGAGCCGGCCGGGCGGCGGCGGCGACGGCGGCGGTGGGAACGCGACCCGGCGTTCTGTGGCCCCCCCCGCCCGCCTCCTCGCGTCCTGTCCCGGCTGGTGGTGACGGGCCACAGCTGCAGCGCCCCCGGGGCGTGGGGTCTGGGTGAGTCCGGGGCGAGGACGCGCGGCCGGGGCGAGGCCGCCGAGGGAAAAGAGCGCGGAGCAGTGCCGGCTGGGAGGCCCGTGTTTTGCTGCCGCAGCGGCGGTGCAATCCTGGCCCTCCTCCTTCAGCCCCAAAGAAAGACGCCCCTGTTTCCAAGGGCCGCCCGGGTTTAAGGCCGGGGTGTGGGGAAGAGGAGGAAGATTTCATTTCTGCCTTTCGGGGCTGCGAGGCCATTCCACGTTGCATCTACTGGGCGGCAGCTGCGACGGTGAGGATGGCCTCTCTTTCTCAGTCGGGTGGTTGTTGCTTCACATCCTCAACATCAGCGTTTTCCTCACCGCCATTTCGGTTCCAGACTCGTTCCCCTTGTGGTACTGTTTTAGTCGGACATCTCTGGATCCCATTCTTGCTAGCCTTGTGTCCCGCACCCTGAACCTTCATGAGTTATAAAAAATCACCATAACGATCGCCATTTTTAAAAACTTGTCAGCTTGATTGGGTCACCTTTCTTATCTTCCGTGCCAGCTTCCAGTTTACTTCCCTTGCACTACTTGGCAACCCGTCTAGTATTGACTTTTTATGTCTGCATTTACTTTTTATGCCTCCTTTCATGTTTCGTTGGTTGCTCCATTGGCTTCTTCCAGGAGGTCTGGTAATTTCTCCTCCCCAGGCTGTCATCGAGATCCATTCAGGTCTCTGGACTTTGCGGGGTTCTTCTTATTCCCATCACTTTACCAAAGAATAAGCGTGCCTGTTTCAAGTGCCAAAGCTTTAAAGGTAAAATGTGGCGAGAATTCCTGCTACAAATGCATGCAGTGATTTTTGGGACAGATTCACCATAATTTATAGCTGTGTTGTCCAGTACCGTAGCCCAATGTGGTTGTTGAGCATTTGAAATAGGCTAGTCTGAATTGAGATGTGTAAAATACACAACAGATTTTGAAGATCTGGTATAAAAAAGGTAAAATATGTCAGTAATAACTTTTATATTAATGTCGATTTGGCAATATTTTGGATATCCTTGGTTAATAGAATATTATTAAAATGAATTTCACCTGTTTCTTTTTATGTTTTCATGAAGCTGGTAGAAAATTTTAAATTGCTTATGTGGCTCAGATTCTTTTTCTTGGAGGGTGGTGACTTAAAATGTTACAAGTTGTTTCTAGTTCCCCCTTTTCCACCTCTACTCAAAGACTTCAGTTATTTCTTTTGCAACTCGAGTTTTTAAGGGAAATGGGCTCCAGTCCAGACTCTTTGGTATTAAGCGAAGGTACTCATACTGTATTTTGACCCCCCATTTTATTTTCACTCTCAAATTCCCTAGAGCTAGAATTGTTCTTACTCTGAATATGCAGTTCTTTGTCCTCATAATGTCACCCTATCCTAAAAATGTTTAAACAATTCTAGAAACTACTGTTTGTTTTAGACATGTATCATTCCTGGCAAGCTTTTCCAATCCTTTATTCAATACCTATTGTTCCTTCAGTACTTAAATGTTAGAAGCCTAATAGTCTTTCCTAAATTAACCTTTCTGTTAAAAATATTCCATTTTGGGGATCAAGTCTTGACCTAAGTGTGTCTCATTTTTCACAAAGATTATATTTGAATTCTCTACAATATGCTGGTGGAGTTTACTTTTTGAAAGAACCTCATGATACATCTCTTTTGCAAATAAGATTATTTTTAAAATATAATAATTTTGCTTGAATAAACATTTTTATATACTTGCTTTTCTAAAGTCAACATATATTTGGATTTATTATGGACTGGTTCTTAGAAACATGTCCTCTGAGGGGTTTCCATTCATTATTAGTTTTTCCTTTAAATAGTACATTTATATTAATTATGGAAATGAGAAAAAAATAGCTATTATTTAGATAATTAACATGTCATTTTAATAATATCATAGGTATTCAGAGATTTGATATTAACCATTACAGAGAAATTAGAGGAGGTCATACTTTTTTATATATGTAAGCCAATAATTATTTTTCTTTTATTACTTATAGTTGAAATAGGTCATGTAGACCTACTTTAATTTGATCACCATCCCACTTTCTTGGTCTGCTTCTTTCAAAGTTGAGACATTACTGAAAATACTAATTTGAAGTTGACTACACATTTTTAGTGTGAAAGATTTTTTTCAAATTTACTATAATTATTACTTTTTCTTTTTTTTAATTATAAAGATGTGGGGTACAATTCAGAGTTAGGTATACACACGTTGATTATGCAGGTACCCTTTTTGAAGAGGTATGCCTCTCTCTCCCCTAGCAGTTTCCCTCAACTGCCAGTCCCACCCCACCTCCCCCTGACAGTTTCCCACTACTGCCAATCGCTTTCTTATAGTGTTAGAATAATTGTTCACGGTCCGCTTATGAGTAAAATCATACGGTACTCTGTTTCTTTGATAGATCACTGAGTGTGATCTACTCTAAATCCATCCAAGTTGCTGCGAACTCCATATGTTTGTCCTTCTTTATGGCTGCATAATATTCCATTGTGTACATGTATCAATTTTTTTTTATCCAGTCCAACTTCGATGAGCAACATGGTTGTTTCCAGGTTTTTGCTATTGTGAAAGAGATGCAACAAACATACGTGTGCAGGTATTTTTTTTGTAGAAAGATTCGAGTTCCTCCGGATATATTCCCAATAGGGGAATTACTGGGTCATATGGAAGGTCAATTTCTAGTTCTTTCAGAAATCGCCACACTGTCTTCCAAAGAGGTTGCACTAGTTTGCATTCCCACCAGCAGTGTAGAAGCATTCCTTTTTCTCTGCATCCTCGCCAGCATCTGTTGTTTGTTTGTTTTGTTAATGATGGCCATTCTTATTGGGGTTAGGCGGTATCTCAGTGTGGTTTTGACTTGCATTTCTCTGATGATGAGTGAGGCTGAGCACTTTTTCATGTGTCTGTTGTTTGCCCGTATATCTTCTTTTGAGAAGTGTCTATTCATGTCTTTTGTCCACTTTTTAATGGGGTTGTTTGTTTTTTTCCTTTCGGCACATTTAAGTTCCTTGTAGATCCTCAGTGTTAGGCCTTTGTCAGATATAGAGTTGGCAAATATTTTTTCCCATTCTGTGGGCTGTCACCCTGCTCTCTTGATGGTTTCTTTTACTTTGCCAAAGCTCGTTTGATGAGGCCACTTGTCTATCTTATTTCTTAAGGTATGGGCATTTAGGGTTCCGAATGGAAATTGGTTGCCAGTTCCAATTTCCATAAGGGTGTCTCCTGCGTTTTCTAAGATTCTTATAGTTAGAGGTTTTACGTTTAGGTCTTTGATGCATTTAGAGTTAATTTTTGTGTATGGTGATAGGTAGGGATCCTGTTTCAGTCTTCTATGCGTGATCAGCCAGTTTTCCCAGCACCATTTACTAAATAGGCTCTCCTCTCCCCAGTGGTTGTTGTTGAAGGCTTTGTCAAACATGAGTTGGTTGAGAAATTGAGGCTTTGCTTCCGGAATCTCTATCCTGTTCCATTGGTCTATATGCCTGTTCTTGTACCAATACCAGGCTGTTTTGATTACTGTAGCCTTATAGTTATTACATTTTAATTGTTCCAGTTTGGGAATTAAAGTTTTCTCTTTTGCCTGTGTCTTATTCACTTTGACAGTTTGCAGACACTCAGGTGGTAGAGATTCATATGTTAGGAGTGGATATGGGCTCTTTAAATTAATTATGAATGTTTTAACATTTGTATTTCAGATTTTTTGTAACATCTTAAACATGAGTCCCACACAATGGGACTTACCTGTGGAATTATGCTGTCGACCCATGGCTTTTGTTACTCTTACGGGCCTCGATGTAGTTTATAATGCTGTCCATCGAGCTGTCTGGGATGCTTTCTGTGCCAATCGGAGAGCTGATCGGGTACCAATTTCTTTCAAGGTACTCCCAGGTGACCATGAGTATCCCAAATGTAGACCCAAGGTAATGACATTATGATTGCATGTGTTCTTTTCCTTTCTCTGGTGTATGTGTGTATATCTTTTTGTTCCTGTTGTCTGTGCTGGAAAATCCCTGAGTTTTTCAAGGCAGTGGCTACAGTGGTGCATAAAGAAAGCCTTAGACATTTTCATGTAATATACTACATGAATGCTTAGTAATATTTATTTTTTTAACGCCAGAAGTAGTAATTACTTTATAAAGTTTTCTATCCTTTATAGGTTTCCTTTTTTTGTTTATAGGGAAAAAACTCAAGCTTTCTTATTTTTAACAAAGTTCTCTCTAAAGGAAGGTCTTGCATTCCCCATCATCATTACCAGTATAACTACAGAATTCATGGTCTTGTGCACTTTGGCTCAATTTCATGCCCATTGTTTGAGTGCTTGCTTTGTGTAAGGTGTCTGGTACCAAGCTACAAGCTGGTGATACAAATTTAAATAAGACAAGTTCCTTGTCCTTGGGGAATTATTCATAAACTGAAGCAGTGTATTCACTGGAATGAGGAATGGTATTAAATTCAAAACTGACTTTTAAAGTTAACATAGTAAAAATTGATTATCTTTAAGAAAGAAATGTTATGATGATAGTATTAATCATAGCAGCTAACATGGTTCTTAGCATGTAAAATTTACTGGGTTTTTTTGAGTTGGAGTCTCACTCTGTCGCCCAGACTGGAGTGCAATGGCCGCTCCCGCCACCGCAGCATCGACCCGCTAGGCTCCTGCAATCCTTCCGCCTCAGCCTTCCAAGTAGCTGGAACTACAGGAGCATGCTACCACGCCCGGCTAATTTTTTATTTATTTTAGAGATGAGGTCTCGCCAAGTTGCCCAGGCGGGTCTCAAACCGGCAGGCTCAGGCAATCCACTCACCTCGGCCTCCCAAAGCGCTGAGATTACAGGCTGAGCCACCGAGCCCAGCCCCAGATTTACTGTTTTAAGCAATTGATGTATATTGATTGGTTTTTTTTTTTTATTTATCATAATCTTAAGGGGTTAGTTTGAAAGTTAACAGGACATAGTTACCAAAATAAACAAATACATAAAATAAACAAACACAAACCCTTTACTTCCCTACCTTTTTTTTCCTCCCTAGAGCAGTATTTCTGACACAATGGTCTCTGACCCAAGTTTGCCATCATCACCTGGGGTGTTTATTAAAAATGTAGATGTCAGGTCCGGGCACGGTGGCTCAAGCCTGTAATCCCAGCACTTTGGGAAGCTGAGGTGAGGGGATTGCCTGAGCCCACGGGTTCGAGAACAGGCTGGGCGACTTGTTGAGACCTCATCTCTACAGTAAATCAAAAAATTAGGCCATTGCCAAGCCATTGCCAGGCCATTGCCTTACTAAGCTATGGTGTGGCCTTGTTTTCTTAAGCTTTGGCCCCCTTCCTCTTCCTTGGGGAAGTGAATCTACTCTTTCTCTCTCCAATTTACTTTCTAAATAAAATATATTTTCTAATCTAACAAAAAAACACCAGTTAGCCAGGTGTGGTAGTGCGCCTGTAGTTCCGCCTACTTGGAAGGCTGAGGCAGAAGGATCACCTGAGTCCAACAAGTCAACACTGGGGTGGCCATGAATGTGCCACTACACTACAGCCTGGGTGACGGTGTAAGACTCCAACTCAAAAAAAAAAAAAAGTAGTTGTCTGGTCTCCTCAGTTAATCTCTAGGAAACCTAGGTCCTGTGGATTAGGTCACCAAATTTGCCTGTGTTTGAGAACCACACACAGGAGACACCATTTTATATACTCAGCCCTAGAAGCTTAGCTGTCTGAAACTGCAAAAAACAGCACCCTTGGCCCTGGCCTTTACACAATTTTTTTCTTTAATGTGATGTTTATGTCAAGAAAGGCAAGTGACCTGGCACAACTAGCCCCCTTTTCTCCTTTAATTCTGCAATTCAGGATGCTTTTAACTTCTCTATTCTCAGTTCTTTGCTGTGTTCCCCCTTGTTGTTTTGTGTCTGTCTTCCTTGTTGTCCTTGTCTTTCCTTACTTGAAGTAGACATTGGACCAACATGAATTGCAGTAGCCTGTCAGTGCAGATGATTTAGAAGTATTTTGAGGTAGCCGGGCTCGGTGGCTCAGCCTGTAATCCCACGCCTTTGGGAGGCTTAGGTGAGTGGATTACCTGAGCCCACGGGTTTGCAACCCACCTAGGCAACTTGGCGAGACCTCATCTCTACAATAAATCAAAATGAGCTGGGTGTGGTAGCGCCCGCCTGTAGTTCCGGCTACTTGGAAGGCTGAGGCGGAAGGATTGCCGGAACCCAGCGGGTCGAGGCTGCGGTGGCCGGGAGTGGCCACTGCACTCCAGTCTGGGCGACAGAGTGAGACTCCAACTCAAAAAAAAAAAAAAAAAAAAAAGGAAGTATTTTGAGGTTTCAAACACATTTAACACTTAAATCTACTGTGTCCTCTTCCCAACATGTAGCACTTAGTGCTGATACCTGAGTGACTGCTGTTACACTTTGAATTGTCCTTTAGTTTTTACTTTATCCACAAGTGAGGCAAAATGCCATCACAGCAATATGTCTTTGAAACAAATTAATTGGATTTTAGATAGTATTTTATTTAAGCAAATTTACAAGAACAGAAACTGGAATGGTGAAGAATATAAGTAGTATTTACCTGGAAATGAGCTGGATACTTTTTTTTTTAAACAAGGTATTTGAATGCCTTGACATCATTGGAAACTCTGGTTTTAGTCATTCTTCTTTAAATGGGAAGTATAGTGACTCCAGGGTTGAGATTCTATCTCCAGCACTTGCTGGCTTTTATTTAATTTCTGTAAACCTGAATTTCCTAATCATAAAAATGGGGAATGCATATATTGAATGAGATAAATGCACATAAAGTACTTGATACTCAATAATATTCTTTACTAATTTTATTTTTTACAATAAGCATTTATTTATTTATTATTAACACTTTTTAAAGTTAGCACACTACCAGCCCCATAACTGAATGCATAAAAGATTTCCACCTTAAAGAAAAGTCTACCACCCTGGAACAGGGAGCTGTTATCAAGTAACTTTTCAACTTTTTCCATTGTTTGCAGAGAACTTCCTATGAATGGTACATTCCTAAAGGAATATTAAAGACTGGTTGGATGAATAAGCATCTGAATCTGGTACCAGCTCTGGTGGTTGTGTTCTATGAACTGGACTGGGATGAACCTCAGTGGAAAGAAAAGCAGTCTGAGTGTGCTACTAGAGTGGAAATAGTCAGGTATGACCTTCTCTGTTTATTAGGTTGGCATGTTAGTTTGCACATGTATGTTATTTACTAACATTTCTTGAAGGCAACAAAGTACTATTTAGACTGCAGTGGTTTCTTTGGGTATTGTTGACCTCCAACAAATCTTGTTTAGTTCCTAATGATATTGACTGTATATAATGCTAGAATATGTGAGGAAATTTAGAAGACATTGCTCTGAATTTCCAAATGTTTTTTCTTGGATTGTGATCTTTTCTGGAGATTTGGTGGTTACTTTTTAGTCTTATAAAACACTTTTGCATTATCACTATTTCAGTTTCAAAATAATTCTTTTGGAAGCCTGTGATATATCACTAAAAGAAGTAAATTGTATTAAGCTGGGAGTTGCAGCTTGTGCCTGTAATTCCAGCTATTTGGGAGGTGGAGGCAAAAGGATCTCCTGAGCCCAGGAGTTTGAGGCTGCAGTGAGCTGTGATTGCACTGCACACCAGCCTAGGCAAGAAAGCAAGAACTTGTGTTTTAAAAATTAAAAAAAAAGCCAGGCTCGGTGGCTCAGCCTGTAATCCCGCGCCTTTGGGAGGCTGAGGTGAGTGGATTGCCTGAGCCCGCGGGTTCGAGACCGCCTGGGCAGCGAGACCTCATCTCTACAATAAATAAAAAAAAATCAGCCGGGCGTGGTAGCGCGCGCCG